CTCTTTAAATCGCTCCGTTCACGTTTAATTTTTTAATCTCTCTCTCGTTAATATTTTTTTGTGTAATATTCGGTTTTGTGTTTTTTTTTATTCTTCACTATGCCTCCAAAAATTTCAAATGAGGAACAGGAAGCGAAGTTGGCCGATCTGGAAGATCAATTAGACGACTTGGCCTGTGATATTAGGACGACCACCGTAGTAGGGCTGAGTCTACCCACCGATCCTTCGCGAAAATCTTTGTTTTTGGCTCGCGTTTCTCGTATCGATGCCACTTACGAGCGGTTCGAAATTATTTTTAGTGAAGTCAATTCTCTCGCGAGAAGGTTAAACGTCTCGAGAGATCGATATAAAAGATTAAAAGAAGAGGTAAGCGACTCTTACTACGAGGCATTGTCTCTTAAAAATAAAATTAATAGTGACGCACCTAAATCAGATCTTGAAAATTCAGCTACGATTAAGGTCATGAGAAATGTTTTTTCGCATTCCACAGTTGCCAGAGATTAGCATCCCATCGTTTTCCGGAGATATAGCGAGCTGGCAAGATTTTAAGGAGACGTTTACATCCTTGGTGCATAATAGGAGGGATTTAGATAATATCGAAAAATTCCATTATTTAAAAACCGCGTTGAAGGGTTCGGCGTTGCAAGCTATCTCCGCTATTTCGATATCCCCTTCAGGGTATACCCAAGCATGGGACGCGCTCTACAAAAGGTACGACAGTAAGAGGGTACAAGCTACGTTCTACCTTACGAAGATTTTGAATTTCGAACCACTTAGTAGGGGTAAACTTGCTAATTTGGAGAATTTCTCTTCGGTTGTTGTGGAGAGCGCGTCGCCACTCCTCAAGCTGGGTATAGACGATCTTCCTGGTTTCGTTTTAAGCACTTTGGCACTCAGATCGTTGGATGCCAAAACCAGGAAGGCCTTCGAGAGGGAATGCGGCTCCAAAGTTGAACTTCCGACTTGGGAAGATTTCGCGGGCTTTATTCAAAGACACGCTGTCCAGACGCAGTCCGAGGCCCTTCTTGTTAATACCTCATCCGAAGTAGTGCACCCCGAGTCCGAATGTGGGAAACCATCGAGACAGTTTGCGATGGCCACCAAATCTTTACAGAGCTCCACGAAATGCCCCATTTGCAAAGCACCTCACCGCGTCTATGATTGCTCTCGTTTCAAGAGCCTCACCCCGCAACAGCGATGCGACCGTATAAAGGGTCTTAAACGTTGCCTTAATTGTTTAGCCTCCGGACATTTCGCAAAAAAGTGTACCTCTCGCGTATCTTGCCGGCTCTGTGATAAAAGGCACCACTCCCTCTTACACTTTTTCTCTCGGGAATATCTGCAAACTGAATCTCGCAGTTCGAAATCCACACCACGTCGTTATGATACAAGTTCGAAAAGTGCACCTACCCCGAATACGTCATCTTCCTCTGCTCGCTCTTCGTTTGTGCACTCTGAACCATCGAAACCCTCTCACTCCTGTACGAATGTTACGTCGCCTATCGATCAAGATTCGCTAACCACACCTCGTGAAACCACTGTTCTCCATACTGCAACCGCTCCGCTCACTCACCCCAAATGCTCTGTGTCACCGACCACTCCACCCAGAAGACGCTTCACACCGCACCGCAATCATTCAAGGGACCGTTCGTCCAAAATGCGTCGAGTTACGTTCGATACATCCGCGGCGAGAAACTATTCGTTCGATGATCACTCCCTCACCGGTCATAGTCTACAGTTTGACCTTAAGTCGCTGAATCCACTTGTCGATCCCCTTGGTTCGGTCAGGGTGGGCGGCAGATCACCTAACCAATACTCGAATGATCATCTTCTCACCGGACATATATCACAATATGAACCAAATTTGTTCCGATCAGTCTCACCGTTTTGCGTTCCCGTTGGTTTTGTCAGGGTGGGCGGCGGCAGGTTTCATTACACTCCTGCACTTTTACCCGTAAATCCTCGTGTGATAAATCCGTTTGTTGACCGCTCTCACTTTATCTTCTCTTACGCCATTCCATAGTAGTTGCACTCTTTGTTCCGATCCACCTCACCTCTCCATCCTATATACTCCGATCCAGCGGATTGTTTCTCACCCCGTAACACTTTCTGTTCTCTCTCTTCTCTTGTTCCTTTCTCTCCTATCTCCTCTACCTCCTAAATGAGATCTCTAAAATTTCTTGAAATTTTGGTGGGCGGTATGTTAACGCCGCATAGGCTTATTCTTAATTTTTTTTCATTATTATTTTTTCTCACATTTACCTCTTTTCAATGTTAACAATAAAATGTTTATTTTTTATTTTTGTAAAAGTTTGAGGTACAATTGTCCCTAAAATGTATTTAAGTTTATGTATTTTTATATTTAGGCTTATTGTGCGATGTATTATCGCTTATTTATATGCACCAGCCCGGCAGTAATACCCTGTCTTAGGGATTAACACACCAAAATACTGTGATAATACTGTTGGGATGCAGTCTTAAGCGAGCTGGAGATAGCTCTTGTCGACATTAGACCCATGTAGTGGAAGTCTACCCCCACCAATCTCACCAAGCTCCAGGCCGTCTGATCTCGCAACATCTCACCTAGCGCCATTTTCGAGGATTAGCTGTAGTAATCGATACATATCGATACGACCCCACCATCGATTACTCGGCAGCTGGAGATCGGAAGGTAACAGGTTGGAGGCAGAACCTCCAACTTGGCTTGTTGTGTTTATTATTCTCACCAAGACATTTGAACATTTAGTTAACTGGTTTCTTCCCTAAATTTGTTTCATTCTTTTGGAAAATTCTCTTGTTTTATTTACAATTTTAGAAATTGATTTTTTTCTTTATTGATAATGGTTAATTTCTTTTATTTTCTCTGGATGTTGTATTTGTGTTTTATTTTTCTCGTAGCTTTTAAGTATTGTTTATCTCAACTTTTATATAAATTTAAATCTCTTTTTCTTTCTCAATAAATTGTAAACATTCAAAAGGGGATTTTTTTTATTTTCCATTTTTTTAATTTTATTAAAATATCTCTATTTTTTTAAATATTTTCTTGTGCATGTATTCGTTTTTTCTCTAATGTTTTATAGGTCTCATTATTCAGTAATTTTTTTTTTCTCCTTCTTTCCCAACGTTTTTTAATTTTTCTCGAATTTACCCACCATTGAGGAAACGCACCGGGGAAAGATCTGTACTTCGATTTTGAAGTACCCCTGTCCCCAACACTAAGCATAATTGAGTACTGGGTCTACACAAAATAATTGTGAATCGTTAACAGTACATTTTCAGTAATTTGAGATGATTAATCTACCTTCAATTATTCGCTTTTACTATTTTAAAAGCCCCTTTTTAGTCATATTATTTTTGAAAATAATGGAATCTTGCACTTTATCGAAGGTCATTGGGGAGAGGATGGGGGATGCATTTTATACAATTTTTAAAACTCCAAGAACATAATTATGTTAGTTCTGGAAACATCTAGTATATTCATTTATTATTACTTTTTTAGAGTCCCTTAATATTAAATAGGCTTTGTATTTAAGGCAGGAGTGGGGAGGGGGGTAGCTTAGTGATAGGGCACTGAGATTCCAATGTTCAAGGTCCGTCCCAAGTTCGAACCCCAGCTTATGGCAAATAATTCATTTATTCTGTTTTTATAAGCCGTGGATCGACCCTGAGGGGGGGGAGACACCCAGTCTCGATGTGGGTACTCTTGATTAAATAATTGATTAAGGAGGGAAACATGGCATTTTCTTATTGTATGATCTTATTCAAGTCACCTCCTTGCATAAACGTTGACCAAGAATTAGTACTTTCCCTTAATAGAACTGAACACAAGACCCTTCATGGGTTAAAGTGGTACAGGTTTTTTTTTTTTTTTACACCTTAACAACAGTGGATTCATATATGACTAGAAAGCCAGTCAAGTTCTGTCTTGTTTAACGATGGAGTGCTCAGTGGTCAATTCCACTTTTAAACTATCTCATGGCCTTTACATGAGGCATTGGGTTAATTTTTCTTTGATTGGAGACTATAGGGCGCCAAGTGGTACACAGAGATCAGATTTGACAAATTTACTGCAAGAGAGTAGATTTTAAATTTTCTATATTAAAATATTTTCAAGTTCTCTTACTGGGATGAAAGATATTTTAGACTCGGCATGTTTAACATAGTATTATATAAATAGTAATAAAATTAGGGATACAGATTACTGAGCTACCGTTTCCTTTCCCCCTGGCTTGACTTTTAGGCCATATTAGGTTTTTTTAGAGCCAGGGGAGAGGGTCCGAGAATTATGCTATTGTAAAAAGTTCTTCCGGCATCAGGATTTGAACTTGTAATCTTTGGTTTATGGATTGTTTTGTAAGGTTTGGTTTTATTATAGTTAATCTTTATATTTTATTTTGCCAGGAGAAGTACTGAAACCGGTCCCAAGAAAGAATAAACAATCATAAAGAGGACATATTTTTATTGAATTTTAGTTATTATATTTGTCGGAAATATAGGGAAATGTTCTTCTTATCATCAGAAATATATTGTCTACAGTTGGAGGTCCATTATTATTATTTTTTTTTTTGCAATCGTTGACCAACAATAATGTGTATAATTATAGGAAACTAAAAAAGAACCTTGTTTATATTGTCACAAAAAAAAAGGGAAAAAAAATCCTGAATATTTTCCAGTTTTTTCCCGTACATGAAAAATTCCCGATCACTGGACATTCTGGAGAATGAAAGATCCGTCGAATCCGATGGTTTGGTGGGCTAAAGTATATAGATTTAAAGATCTTTTTTGGAATGTAAGAACGGAATAGATGAAAAAAGGTATTAATTAATTTTGTTATGTTGGTTGGGAAGGTTTTCTGAGTGGTATAATCATGTTTGTATGGAAAATGAAGATGTGAATAAAGAATCTGTCACTATGAATATACAAAAATTTAAATTAGCTTTCATTAAAAAAATTATAATTGTTTTAAGTTTGAATATGTAATATACATGAAAATAAATTACCATGGGCTCTTCACGAATCAATAGTTTTATGTCAGATAAATGCCTTAAAATGGGTTCATCATGAGGTTGTATCATGTCATTCAGAAGTTGAACATTTTTAAATATTGTCAACCAAAAATCTGGAATACCAGGGCGTCCTTTATCACTATGAAAAAATATAAAATCAAATTAGAGATTTAGATATAGTTGACTGTTAAAATTATAAGGATGAAAAATAGGATATGCAGTCATTAGTGGTGCTTAGTAAATTTACCGACATTTCGAACCAAGCATGTGAGTCATTGTTAGGGCTAAAATTTAGGAAATAAAAAATTGCATCAAAAAAATTATTAATTATTTAAATTAAGTATTTAAATAAGAGAAGAAAAAATATGGAACGTATACATTATAATATAAATATAATATTAAATTCTTAGACAAAATAGGATTGTTACAGGAATGGTAGGGATCTTTTAGGTTGCTCTGTAAGGTTTTAACATTTACCAGTTAAGTGGAAGCTTAAAGAGAATAGAAATTTTTCTTGAATAGCTATTTTTACTGATTGTTATATTATAGTGTTCATTTATCAGCATTTGTATTTAGAAATGGCCTACTCACTGTAATGATCATTTAATAAATTAATATCTAATGATCATTGCCAGTAACACTGATGTATGCTGCTGCCACCTGCTGAACACTGTTTATACCCCTTTGTTCTAAATTCACCAATTATCACATAACTACCTGTTCACTTTAAAATTGAGTGAAATTCATTGTGCACTCAATCCATCCCCATCAGTCACTTAAAATACCACTTTACATACCCTCTGATTATGTGTTTTTCTATGACTGCCAGGTCACACTTTGTGTTGAATAGGAAGTGATGACTAAAAAAATATCCAATTCAAGTTATTAAAAATTGCTTCACGGTAAACTAGAAAAAATTTACTTCAAATGATAGTAGAGCTTGTCTTTATTCATCATCATTCGATTCATCTTTGGAGTCCCCAGACGCTCCCATGTCTCCAGTTGGTATGCTGAGTTGAAGTGGCTCTATTCAGATTTCCGGCGGCAATATTTCCTAGGTGTATTCTTTTTTCTGAACTTTTATAACCAAAAGGCCATCTTACTTTCTTTATTTGTTCACTCCTTGTTCCTCTATTCATTCGTTTAACATGAGATCTCAGTCCATAAACCTGTTTGTTCTCAGTCATAGAGCCGTTTCTTTTAAAAAATCCTTTTCATGCGAGTTACATTTTTTAGGAATTCCTTACATACCATTCACTATAAGCAAATCCTCTTCCTTAACTGCATTTAAATAACATTTATTCTTCCACCACCTTAGCATCAATCTTCCAAAAACATGTAAGAATAAAATTTCATATTTTGAGAGCTGTCACCCTCATTTGACTGTTATGTTACTGTTACTTATATATCATCAATATTGTTAATCAGAACAAATATGTGAACACACTCATTTATATGTATGTACAAATTAATAAGTTTACTTCTACTTAAATTATTTTAATTATAAGGTTAATTATTATGTTATGTTAGCTAATTTCTTTTTTTCTTATAATGCCAGACAATTTTCATCTTTTTTTTCATTATAATTATTCTTAGGAAACTAAATATCCCAGAATAAAATTGACTTTTTTCTTTTTCTTCTAAAATAGTAGGGGACAACATAAGTGGAAGTTATTAGTTCCAAAAGACGCAATGAAGCTATCTGGGAATGTCATGATAAAGAAATTTCAAAACGTTACGAGATGAAGAGTATTACTATTGTTCTGGAATGGTCACAGACATAACGAGATATGTTTGGAAACGTGAAGTTTGTTTGGCAAATAAACCACTGCAGGCAAAACCAGCTGATCTCATGGGGAATGGTTACCCAGCCTAGGCAGATTTAATGGGATCATTTCCAATGCCTTCCAACCAAAAGAGATTTATTATAGTGTTTATTAACTGTTTCACAAAATATAGCATTATTTTGCCAGTTTTATCATCATTATTATAGCAATTACGAACTGTTCCACAAAATATAGCATTAATGTGACAATTTTATCATCAACGGCTCAATTGCTAGCCAGAACATTGGAGTGGGAGATCTTTCTCAACAAGCTGTTCTACCCTACTTCTTAATACAGAACTGACATCCTATTAAACTTTTGAGGGTAAGCCTTTTTGAACTCTCATTTCAGGCACGTTTCTGAGACCACCAACTGCTCATTCTCTTCGCCCGAAACATGGTAATTTTTGGCTGAAATTCAAGTAGGCAGGCAAGTAGCCCAGCCCATAACTACACTACATGAACTGCAATCTGCATAGTTTAAGTTTAATTTGGCAATTCTTTACCCTAATGTTTGTGATTTTCTTTCACAGAGAAAGCCAAGAGTGTTTTTATCACTCGATTCAGACCTTCCATTGGATTTTTTTTCAATTTTTTGGCATAAAGCACTGCGACCCTTAAGGATCTATTGTGTGGCATAGATCCTACTTCTAACTAACTACTTCTTCACACTCAATCAATCCTATTCAGCAGTTCGGTGATGATAGACTGGGGTATACCACAATTTTACAAAGAAGAGGTCACTAATTTCAATGAAATATTTTTGGGTGATAAGCGCCATATAACTGCACTTTCCCAAAATGGCGTCCAAACATGGTGGATTGACTTATTTGACCTGAGTTAGTTTTTCGATCACTGAGTTTCAGCATTTGGCTTAATTTCATCATAATTGGCCTGTTATACAGTTGACATTTTTATTAGTGTATCATAAAACAATAATAATAACAGTAGATCATTAGAGAATCTCGAGGTATTGATTGATCATGCTAATTATTTTATTTTCTAAATTTGTATTATCTCTATCGATTGGCATTATCAACTTCTCACCGAGATTCTATATCTCTTACTTTTATATACAACATAATATAACATTTGATTATCACTGTGTCATTGATTGGTATTATCATCATTATTGTCATTGTGGTTGCTATAGTTATTAGTTTAATTATTTACATACATGCTTCTCTAGCAATTTACCTTTACAGTCTTTATTTAGCAATCTGACTTCTAATATTCTTCATCAGTCCACAGTTACATTTCAGCATATGGTACACCATTCAGAGATATCAGCAGGCCAGACCAAACTATTCGACCCAGATGTATTTGCGGATGCCAGTCCCTCCAAGGGGAGGATTTAACATCATTATTCCACAAGCCAGAATCTACATTTACCTGGTCAGCCCATTAATAAAAAATAGATACTAACACATTAACCACAATGTATATTTTGATAATGCCCATCAAAAAATCTGTTTATTTCATTTCTATTCAGTAATATACATTTTATGTTGACTTTATTTGGGTCATTTTACATTCCACATAAGCACCTCCTTCTGAACAATCTATTTTAGCATCCATGTTTTATTCTCCTTAATTCAAGAATAGGGAAGATGGACCGAACATTTGGTGACCCTGATGTGAATTGAACACGCAAACATCTGATGTTCATTTGGAAAAGTGTCGGCATGATTCTTGATTGAGGTATAAATCGGCAAGATCATCAAAATACATTTTGAATTCAAGCCAATCATTGCTTAAAAAATGTTCTTTGACTAGCGTCTGCAATGGCAATTCTGCCAGCTTGTGCAGTAGCCAGAATGTTACGGTGCAGAGAGTGTAGTTGACGCTCAAGAGATTGCATGTGGTGAGAAAGTCCATATTTTACCGTGAAATAATAAAATTGTTACTTTTAGACCAAGAGTGGCAGGAATTGGCAAAAAAGAAGACATGCTAACACAGTAAAATTTGCATATAATAGTGAAGTTGCAGAGTTAGACACTAATTTGATTATCAGCACATTCTTTTCTTTTTCTTTATCATCCTCCTTGGTGCCTCTCAGAGCATGGAGACTCCGATCTGGGACTGCCAAGCTTCCTCATCCCGAGCCAGTTACTTCATTGAATTCATAGACTTCCCCCTTTTTTTTTTAACCAATCCGGGAGATGTGGTCCATCCATACATAGCAATCTAGGTCTTCCTCGAGGACGGGGTCCGGTAGGCATGGCCTCAAAAAACTTCTTTGGATCACGGTCCTTATCCAGTCTGCACAGATGACCAAACATCTCTTTTCTAATTGTTTAAATGTTATTAATTCATCCTTTCTGAATTCATGGTCATTCCATGCAGGTGAACCATTTCACTCTGAATGGTGTCAAACTCTGTACCTCCAATACCTTCCTGATTGCACATCTGGTGTATTACATCAGAATTTGTTCTTTATCCAAGTCATTCATGGACATTCCATACTGATAATTCAATTGCAATAACAATCAACAATTAATTAGTTTGTATTTTGTATTCTTCTAAGCCAGACAAAGACCCATAAATTTGTAACTCTGCAATTATTCTTGGGGGACTGTAGTCTCAGAATAAAATTAATTTTTCATTTTCCATTCATTTCATAATTCCGTTGTGGTCTAACTCTGTAATTGGGGGAATCACGCCCAGTTAAAAGTCCCTTATTATTTTCTTACTTATTCTTCATCTCTAACTTCAGTAATCAGGTTGCCTGGCAACACGCGGTGCTATGCACACGCCTTAACCAGCTCGGTTTCCCCAACCTATAACTACTTCCACATCTATCATATATGGTTTCTCAACCTCTTTTAGGTTGAGGTCCTCAGTGTGTCCCTGTCTTATTGGTTCATGAGGTCCCCTTGATTGAGAAATCGCTGGGAATTTTTTTTTCTAGATACTCAATATCTTTTCTTTAGATGCTGTCAGAATACCACTTTTCCCTCGCATTTGCATATTTCAAATACCTCGGGGCTCCACAATAACATCAATGAATGACCAACAGCCAGAAATAGACCAGCAGGCAAGACAAATGACCATATTGAAGGCCAAAAATCAGATGGATAGATAGAATCAACAAAAATGCTATAGAGCTGCGTGCAGATAACTGAAAAGAAATAGCCTATACAACAGGCAGAGATGGATCAGGTTTGTTAAGGCGGCAAAAGATCTACAAGGTTTCAAACAAAATATATCAGGAATCTTATACAACTGTTGAAATAAAATAAAAATCACACACACGCCTACACTTGGGTAGGGTAGACTTTTATTTAGCGGCGGACCCACAGAATGAAACTCGACCTTCCCAATCTGGTTAGAATAGATTTGGTTGTACCTCTAGAACAACCTCCCCCTTCCGTCCCATATACCAGAACTGGGGGAGGGGTTAATCTAATTTAAAAAAATTTAGAAAGAGAGAGACAACAAACCTGTAAATTTTTTTCGTAATTATTGAGACTTGATCATAAGACTTAATTTAAATATCAAAAAACAACTATTTCCCTAGAGGAAAATTTTGTTTAAAGGAAAAGTCTGGAAATTAAATTGGAAAGAATGAAATTTATATAAAATAATTTGTAAATAACAATTCTCATTAGCAACTAGCTCACAACTGCAACAAGAAAGTATGAGATGAGATTAGCAATGAAAATAAAATAATAGGCTGTATAAAAAAATGACCATTTTATTAAATCCAAGATTTCAAAGGGCTGCAAATATTTTAATCCTATTTAATACTTACCAATACTTAATAATTCCTTTAGAGCATTCTCTAAGCTTTTTAATCAAATTCAACTTCTTCAAAAAAAGTCTCAGTTTAGTTATTTGTTTCAAAGAAAAACATGACAGCGTCCTACAAAATTTTCGTAATTTTAAGGCGTTACTGGAAAAAAAATTTCACAGCTGCTGAGGCAAGTTGTGAAATTATTAAATGTGAAGGGGAAGGCGTCCTTGACCAGCACACAGCACGGCATTGGTTTGAAAAAATTAGCAGTGGAAATATGACGTTGGAAAAGAAGAAGGCCACCGAGCGACGATTAATGGATATTGATGAGGTTCTACAGGAAACTGTTCAGTCAAATCCATCCACAAGTACTCGCGAACTTGCCAGGGAGTGTAGTGTGTTGAAAGATACTGTTAGTCGCCATCTACTCTCCATAGGGAAGGTGAAAAAGAGCAGTAGACTGGTCACTCACGAACTTACTCCTCAGTAATCAGATCAGTAGACTGGTCACTCACGAAGTTACTCCTCAGTAATCAGCTAAGAGGTTAGAAATTTGTGAAAATTTATTGAAAAACCCTTCTGATATGAGATTTTATCAGAAGATTGTCACCTGAGATGAAAAGTGGGTTTACTGGCAAAATCCAAATACCTGTGAACAATGGCTAGATCGCGCTCAAACTGCTTTTTTGGTAGCTGCAAGAGGAAAAAAATCAATGCTTTATATTTTTTGGAATTTTGATGATGTTATTCATCATGAATTTGTTCCTGATGGATGCTCTATGAATTCTGAACTCTACTGCGAACAATTGGAAAGATTGTACGCGAAGTTGTCAGAGCGTTATCCTGGCTTGATCAACCGAAAAGGAATTTTATTCCAACAAGACAATACTCATTCTCACACTTCCGGTCGAACCAAAGAAAAGTTTAAAGAACTTTATGGGTTCGAACTCCTGCCTCATCCACCATTTAGTCCAGACCTCGCACCATTAGATTACTACTTATTTAGATCCATGGCCCATTTTCTTCAAGGGAAAAAAATTGATAATTTGTGAGTTGAAATTGCGGTCCAAGAGTTCTTTGACAGTCATCCCAAAGAATAGTATCAGCATGGGATCGAGCAATTGGCTAATGATGGTAGATAACAATGGACTATACTTTGAGTATTAATTGTATGTTATATCAAAGAAATAAGAATACAAATATTTAATTAAAAAACGGTCATTTTTTTTAATAAACCCTATTACTTAAAATTATCATACCGTTAAAAAAAATTAATGACACCAGACTAACAGTGATCAACATTATACTAAACTAGTAGGTTTAAATAGCTTCATAAAAACTTACATTTTTGCTATAGACAATTTAGCTCTAAAATCTTTAATGACCTCTGCTTCCTCAGGCTCATTATCTTCATAAGAACCTGAAATTCCTAGTTTACAGTCTTCATCAGATGGTTCTAAATCTCCATTCACTATTTTCATTCTCTAAAACAAAAAAATTACACAGCTAAATTTAAAGATAAATAAAGTAAATGAAAATATATGCATATGAGAAAACTTAAGAATGTTTTCTTCCTTATATTATTGCTTTAATAGAAAAAACAAAACAAAACAATAAATGTTTATTTCTCTAAAAATTATGGACAAAGAACATAAACTTTTCATGTTTACTAAACATAACAATAAAAAAAAAAACTGATAAAATCAAATGTTTAATTATTTTTACATGAACATAAAGGTTTATCAGGAATCTTTAGTATTAGAAATCTAATACAACTGTCAAAAAAAAAAAAAAAAAAAAAAAAAGGAGCAAATGCACACGTAGTTCAATCATGAAAAGATTCTGTAATTTATAGTTAAAAAAACTAAAGTGGTGATTGTAGGCAATTTTTCTTTTTATTTTTAATAGGTATGAGCACTGTCATCTCATATTAATTGAACACTAAGCATTTTAAACAAAAATTTTTACCATGATTTAAAGCTGTTTAGCCACTGATTTGTCTTAGCAGTATACACATCTATATTAAAGTATTTTATAAAAAAATAAATAATTAATTTCTAATAGAATAAATTAGAAATTAGAGAATAAATATTATTTATAAACTAGAAAATAAATATATTTATTTTTAATTTGTACTTCTAATGACTGCAATCCCCAACAAACTTATTTTCTACAAGATCTTCCAACAGTCAACAATTATCCAGCATCAATAAAATTTATGAAAATTTGTTACTGATAATGCAACAATATATTTATTTTCATGAATGGGGAGCAGGGTAGCCCAAGGTCACAGGTTCGAATCCCGTCTAATGGCAGAAAATGTATTTATTCTGTTTCATTGGCCGTGGGGCGATCCTAGGATAGGGAGACCCTCCTGGGGCACTCACACCTCCACTACAACGTGGGTACCCTTAATTATATAATTAATTAAGAGGAAAAACCTGGCCTGATTCCCTCCCTGTATAACCGTTGGCCTTGAAACAATACTTTCCCTAAATAATACTGAATCCAAGACCCTTCATGGGTTGTAGTGGTACAGGTTTTTTTAAAATACTTTTAATGAATAGTAAAGTAAGCTATTTCAAATCCTAAAAGAAGGATTTTGATGTACTATTTAATAGGGTGAATAAAAAAAAAAAGACAGTTTTACAATCAAATATTTTTGTTATTATTTCTTTGGTATAAAATACAATTAATACTCAAAGCATAATCTACCACCATTAGCCAATTGCTCGATCCCACGCTGATACCATTCTTTGGGATTGCTGTCAAATTTCAACTTCCATAAAATCATCAATTTTTTTCCCTTGAAGAAAATGGGCCATGGATCAAAATAAGTAGTAATCTGTGATGGTGTGAGGTCTGGACTATATGGTGGATGAGGATGGAGTTCGGACCCATGAAGTTCTTTAAACTTTTCTTTGGTTTGACCGGAAGTGTGAGGATGAGCATTATCTTGTTGGAATAAAATTCCTTTTCTGTTGATCAGTTGATACTCAAAGTATAGACCATTGTTATCAACAGTCATTAGCCATCTGCTAGCCAATTGCTCGATCACACGCTGATTTGACCATTCCCAGAGATAACTGTCAAAGAACTCTAGGACCTGACATCAAATGTTTTCCCTAGAAGAAAATGGGTCAGGATGGTGGATGGGGCAGGAGTCTCATATCAGTAGAGTTTTTCAATAAATTTTCACAAATTTTTACCTCTTAGCTAATTGATGAGGAGTAAGTTCGTTGGGGACCAGTCTACTGCTCTTTTTCACCTTCCCCATGGAGAGCAGATGGCGACTAACAGAATCTTTCGACACACTATACTCGCTGGCAAGTTCGCGAGTACTCTTGGACGGATTTAAATCAACAGCTTCCTGCAGAACTACATCCATATCCATAAATCATCGCCCCGGAGCCTTTTTTCCTTTTCAACCTCGTATCTCCACAGCTAAATTTTTCAAACTAATGCCACGTAGTGAGCTAGTCAAGGACACCTTTCCTCTCATATTTAATAATTTCACAAGTTGCCTAAGCGGCTGTGAAATATTTTTTCCAGTAATGCCTAAAAACTACGAGAATTTCATAGGACACTGTCATGTTTCTTCTTTGAAACAAACAACTAAACTGAGACTTTTTTTGAAGAAGTCGAATGGGATTAAAAAGCTTGGAGAATGCTTATTAAAATATTTACAGCCCTTTGAAATCATTTGTTAAGTCATTTTTTTTTTAAACACCCTATTATTTTTTCGCATAGAAAAAAATTATCAGCAATAGAAAATCAAAAACCTAGGGCACTACTTACATTATTGTAAAGCTCAGAAAAACGGGTATGATACTGATACTCCAATTTGTACACATCTCGAAAAAATTCAGCTTCAAGATTTAAACATTGTAGTTGTAACTTTTTCAAAGCTTGTACTCTTCTTTTAATAGGATCAGGAAGCAGCTGTAAACAAATGTTATAGAAAACAATAATAACATAATACGAGTATTCAAGTAACTTATGATAATATTTAATAAGTTATGGTGCTTAAAAGTTAGCATGGAAGTGAACAACCCTTCTGACCTACTAACGTGTTATTTGCTGTAGTAAATTAAATCCTCCATTTAATTTTGGTTTCAGTGTTTAAGAGCTTATTTATCTAAATATGAAAAGTAACCAGGTAGATAATGAAAAAAAAAGTGAAGTAAAAATTTTCTTTTTCAAAATTAACAAATAATGAACATGGATATCTCGGAAACTATGTGAGTTAGCAAAAAAAAATTAACAACTTAAAAAAATTAAGAATACTTTTTTTTATTTCAATATGCATAAAATCATTAACATCATAAAAAAATATAACAAAACTTACATTATAAAATAAAAAATAAAATAATACTGATGAAAATAATTTAAGAAAATAGTAACGTGGAAACCTGTTCAAATGGAACTTCATTGAAGGAATCATCAGCCATGTCCTCATGTAGAATTCAACTTACAAATTAATTCTCTCAAGTTTGGTTACGTTCGAAAAATTAATCTGCAATAAAAATAAATTCATAACATGCAAGTGAATATTCATGAAAAACAAATGTAAAAAATTGAATATGGTATAAATCACTAAAATGGGCAAATCAGGGTTTGATTTGTAGCAAATAATACCCATAATACAGAGGAATTATTGTGTATCAATGAGATTAGTAGCATATATTATAAAACAGATCTAATTTTGCAGCTGAGATAAAATTAAAGCACATAAATACAAGGAGGTTCTATTTGGCTTGAAAGAAATGCAGAGAACTAGTAGTATAATCTGATGTAAAAATTTATTGGAAGTTAACTAAGAAATAAACCTTCTTAATTAAGGCTTTACCAAGTTAGAACAACATGCTTTAAAAGCATGAAATGTTATAACATTTGATAATTATCACCTTGGCTGCGGACGGGATATCTGCCTCCATGTCAGAAGATAAGCATATTTATATTCATAAAAAGAAATATGAATACAGATGATATGTATTCACAGCTGTATTTACACTTGTAAAATTGTATACGGCTGTATTCACGTTTATTAAAATGAATACGCTTAAATTTACAGAAGTGAATAGAAATATTTTCTCACAATCTTATGGATGAATACTCTTCTTCATTAAATAAATATTAATTTTCAGCCATGTCCAATTTCACTTTCTAGGATGTAATCTTAGGAGGGTTCAAGACATAGGCGCAGATTTGGGAGGTGGCGGCACCTGCCTTAATGCATCGGCAGTTGCCACTTGTAGCGATAGAGGAAAGCCCTGCTTCCACCTTTCGCCTTGTAGCTCGGTCCGTGCATTTATAAGCCCTCTGGAGCTTACCCAGTTTGGTCGTTCCAGTTTCTGACCATTTGTTGGAAGCTATCATTTGCAGATTTATTCTGAACGCAAAATTAAAAAATGGTTTCTAAATGCATTTTTGAAAGCTAATATCTTTCAGGGTGACTCAAAATAATATTTTAAACAAATTTAAGGGAGGGGGAGGGTTAAATCCGTTTTCTGAACGTCTCTTTAGATTTCAGGATCCACCATCTGGAAGAAACACTTGTTATGAGGTATCGCAGTCAAAGGGTTAAAGGTTATCACTATGTTCCCCCATCCATATTTAGAAAGGTAGTCCTGAAAATATTCTGACTTTTCCAGACACATCCGCTTTGTCTGAGTTGTGTTTGAGGCTAGGTCTTGTGCAAGTCAGTATCAACCAACATACAGCTCAGCAGCTGTAGGTTGGTAGCCTTAAAGGGTAGATATAATAGAAGTTGAAGGTCTGACACAAGTTGAGATTGACTTGAGAAAATACCATCTTGTTCTCCAACCAGGGCCAGGTATCCAATAAAAACTGTCAACTCTCTGCTATCTGGTAGTATCACTTGACCATGGACTGCATTAGCTTCTATCAGGTCGGGTTTTTTCAACCAGGTCATACTTTCTGTGTATACTAATACATGTTAGCCTAGGAACGTTGACATTTCTAAAAATTTTCATTTCATTATAAACCAAAATGGACGACAAAGTCACTTCAAACACCATTCGTTTATATATTAATTTTCAATTACAGCAATGAGCTAACTAAATTTACTACAAACCTAACATAAGATGGTCTTAACATTAAATAAAAGTACTGGTAAAGCACTCCACTACGCAAGCACAAACTTTATAATCAAACAGGAAAACAATATTGAACACTCCCTCAACATTTGAGGTTCTTTATTTCTAAAAACAAAGACAATCGTCCAATGTCAGCAACTTTTCTCTAAGAATATTGGACATTTTTTGAAATTTAGCACAAAATTTATAGATCACTCTGTGGTGATCGTAGGAACTCGACAAACCATCATTATGTTTTTAACTGATGGCCAAAAATCCTGTGTTTTCATAGATTGTTTCTACCGGGCAAGCCTGTAGAACTATCGATTCGTAGGGGTCATTTCTTTACTGAGATAAACTTGGTAGCAGTCATTTTCTTGCCAGCCGATATTGTGATACCAGAAATCCCTCTACACTTTTCTTCTCTTTACCAGGTCGTCACTCACTGATTGTCTGAAGAAATCACGATGACAGGCAGAGGTCATGGGACCTCTTTTCTGGTTCTGACCCACTGCACGGTGACAATGGCTTTAGATCACCTGCTCAACTGAAGACAGCCTTGGTGAATTTTAAGAGGAAATTGAAAAGGGACAATGCAGATGACAAGATAGGTGCATCAAAATATTTCATATTAAACACAACTGAGGAGGATAGAATGATAGTGGTGAAAGTTTTTAGACAGTGAATTGTAATTAAATAATGTAAATGTAAGTACAATTATAATTGTAATAAATATAAAATTGATGCCAGAAAAAATTGATGAATCTACAGCAAAATTACAGGAACTTTTTAAGCTCCAGTTGGAGCCAATTACTTCTGATTATGATTCTTCAGCAAATTATTTATCCACAAGTAATTTCATAACTGGTTTTTGATATGAAATCCAATTAAAGTTGTTTAAATAAATAATAAAATTAATTATGTTTATTAATCTGGTTTAGCAAACCAAGCAGCTGAAGAAGACAGTCAAATTACATTAATAATAGACCCTAATGCTATACCGACACAGGATATTTCTGCAGGAAAAGAAGGTTCTTCAAAAGGAATTTCTTCTAAATCCGAAGCAAACAACAGTAATATTAATCTGATATTTATCAGAATGTAAGTGAATTCACAGACAAAAAAACATATAACTATGAACAATTACATGAAAAAAATGAAAATCCTGAAAGCCAAATTGGAAAAGGAGGAACACATAAAATGAAAAGCTTTACTTGAAAAAAAAATATCTTCAATAAAATTTTAACAAGAAAAATAATTAAATCGTTTTAGAATCAAAAAGAAAAAAGAATTAGTTCATATAAAATTAGAACAGGAAAAAGAATTTAAATCCACACAGTATAATAAAAATCTGGTATGCACAACACACAACTCTCACTTACCGCTCAACTTTGAAAAGAAATTACTTTCTGGCCATGCTGGGCTATTATAAAATTTTTGAATTGTATTTTTAACTGAGCCAAAGCTAAACGATTATAGCTAAGAAATCATAAATACTATTAATGGTAATTGGTTGACTGTCGTGGATAATGAAGAGAAAAATAGTAGGGGTGCTCAGTCAAAAAATAAATTATATTTATTTCTTACATATGCCGACGTTTCGACCTGAAGTTCAGGCCTTCATCGGGGCTTTCTCCTTAAGTGTCAAGGGGAGAATAAATGATTATATTAATTTATTCTCTTATTAATTTATTTGTATATTATTTATTATTCTAATGATTATATTAATTTATTCTCCCCTTGACACTTAAGGAGAAAGCCCTGATGAAGGCCTGAACTTCAGGTCGAAACGTCGGCATATGTAAGAAATAAATATTATAATTTATTTTTTGCCTTCCTTTTTGACTGAGCACCCCAACTATTCTTCTCTTTATAAATACTATTAAAATAACAAAAGTCCTATTTATTGTATCACTGGTTGATTATAGATCGTATGGCTATAAGTTATTAAACTGTTATTTTTCATTGCAAAGTTTACTAAAATGATGATTAGCATTGTCTGTCATAGACAGGTCAAAAGTTGTCACACTGATTGTAATTCAATGTGATTACAATCATATATATATATATATATATATATATATATATATATATATATATATATATATATATATATATAAACGTATAGTTTATAATTTTTTTTCAATTCTAAAGAATTTTAGTATTTTCCATAGCAGAGGATAGAATCTTTCTTCATTTCATTGTTGTACTTAATTCAAATATTCCATCCACTTATTATTGTGTTTTTGTAACAGATCAAAACCTCATGGCTTTGGAATATATTCTTACTACATAGTATAATCTGTATATATTTTTAGATTTTATGTATATACTTACTATTGAATCTTTTGAAATATTGAACTCCAAGACTGGAGTTGTATGGTTTAAAGATAGCAATGGAGTTAGGTTTTCATTGCCTATCGTTGATTTTAATTTTTTAAGAACATTATATTAGTTCTTGATTCTATATATTAATATTATCAACTGTGCACTGTTCACAACATGATTTTGTTTAGTGAGCAATTATTTTACTATTAGTTATATTTAAGGGGCTCTCATATTTAAATTATAACCAAATGTTTTTTATTTTTTAAGTTACTTACTTAGTTTTAGAATTGTTTTTGTTTTACTTCTGCCTATATAAGTTTTAATCAACTTTACGATAAAAGGTTGTTGATATTTTTAATTTTATAAACTAGTAATTAGATAAAATATTATGGCTTACTGCACTGTTTCACTGTTATTTGTCTGAAAGTTTAGAAATGCAATTGTTGAGTTATTGATATTATAAAATTTAATACAAAATAGTTTACTTTAAGGTTTATAAATTTTGTTTAAGCTATACATGTTGATTCTTAGTAAATTTTGTTGCCCTTATTTATAAAGTGCATTTCAATCTTTTTCTTCCAAAGGAAGTGTCTAGTGAGTTAATTAGATATTTTTAATAGAATATTTTATTTTCTGAGAACTCTTCCTCCCCTCAGCTCATCACCTGGACCTCGGGACTTTTGATAAGTTCTTACCCTAAGCACCCTGAACAAGTTTCTGAAGGAATCACTTAGATCCCTGTTCACGCACTCTATAACTCCTTCATTGGCTGGATTAATAGAGAAAATAATTGGGAAATTGATTATTAATGGCATCTACAAAAACTTCATTAAGAAATTCCATGCAATTTCCAAGTGATCGAAATGATGGACATATGACAGAGCATAACAGTAATAAGATTTTTCTTATGTATGAAAGTATTTGATGTATAGGTGATAGATATTTTCTACATGCTTCCTTAAGTATTAAACATCTTATGAAGTAATAAGCAACAATATAGTTTATATGGTGGTTTACAATTAATTTCTGATGGATATAATTAATTTTTGTTAGTGCTGATAAAAGGTATAACTAAATTAATAAAAAAACTAAATTTATGTTAACTGAAATATATTAATAATCATCTGACATAATAGGTACAATATTTAATATTTTAAATGTGATCCAAAATAATGGAGCCCTAATAAAAAGATTTAAATATGTAACTTAAAAAATTAACAGCCCCTTATTGACATACAATCAAAAATATAAAAGCAGCCTCTTAGACATTTAAAACAATATAAACATCAATAATAATACTGACTTTTTAACTCTTTTAAAATGAAAAAATAAAACAATACTTCGTTGGCAATAACATGGTTTCATGACCAACAGATTAAAGAATACAATCATAAAAAAACAATTACTAATAAGGTAAAATGAAAACTTCTAAACATGAAAAACCTATTGACAAACTGTAATGACTGTGATGCCTTACATATACTTATAAATATAGCATCATTGTCAAAACTTTTTGAGACCTATTATTAATAAATTTGCAGTGCCATCCCAAATCTTGAACAATTCAATTTCTGTCAGTGTTTTATAATAAGTGTTTTATAAATTTGTCAGGAATTCCAGATCCAGTAGACAACCTATTTATTGAACTGAAGGCAACCCAAAATATGAATACATATAAAAAAAGCTAAACTTATTACACATTTTTCGAACAAAAGGAAAAATATATATCTGCTGACAACAAACAATTTAAAAATCAATAAAATAAAAGGCGTCCACTAAATCAAGTTAGACCACTAATCTTCTGAGACTGGGATAACATTCTTAAGTTTGTATCATCTTAATGAAAAGGTGAAAATATGCTATAAAACTAGGCAAAAATAAAGTTAAATCAAGTAATTTGAACATATAGCCAGCTATAGCATAACCGTCAAATAAATATATTGAGCATAAAACTACATGTAAATTACTTACCAACGATAAACTTAACAAACGTGCGAAACAACGTGCGATAACTGAACAGACGGTTGATGAGCGAATAAAGCTGAAACATCGATGGTAAAGTTTTTCAAATATCGATGTTTCACTTAACAGTATTTTACCAACGAAATAGATTATAGACCATTTAATTTTTTTTAAGTTTATTACATTACATTTATGTTATAAAAGGGTAAACGTTTTATACAACTCCGCTAGTAATTGGCATCCATTGTCGGTTAGTTAAGAAAATTAAGCCTTTGGAATGGCCTCGAATATAATCTGTCGAAGAGAACTATTTCAAAACATGAACTGGTTCTGAGGAAGTATATCTTTGTTCTGTGAAGTATATCCATTTCTTGGTTCAAATCTTTCCTCTCTCAACGTATCCAAGCAGTTTCCGTTCCCAATCAACCGCTATCTGTCTATCTTTCTTTATCCTCCGGATATGCCCAGGGATTAAGCCTAAATCTCCTCCTTTTCAGTTCCTACATTAACGATCCACATCATCCAATTCTCCATTGTTCCCATCAAATCTATGCAGACAATTTTCAAATCTACCTATCCTTTTCTCCCCCTGAGTTGTTGGTAGCATTTGTCAGTATTCAAGAAGACCTAGATCGAATCAGTGCCTGGGCAAATGTGAACGGATTAAGGTTAAATGCTGCCAAAACTCAGACCATTGCAATTTGTTCCAAGCCCTTTCTTAGATCCTATACCGACTTTCCCACACTTAACCTTATTGTCCAGCCAATCTTCTTCTGCTGATATGTTAAAAATTTAAGACTTTTCATTGATCAAATCCTCTTATGGAATCACCATATTTCTCACATCTCCCGACGGACAATTTATACCCTCAAACTATTCCATCGCTTCCGCCATCTCCTACCTCAACATACGCGTAGACTCCTGGTTTCCTCTCTCATCTTCCCCCACTAGACTACAGCTGTGTGGTGTATGATGGTTTCTCGGTGGAGCTCCGTGACAGACTGAAAGACTAGTTCGAGAATTGGTTAACCATGAACGTGTAATTTTTTTGCTTTGAAATATACAATGTGAAATGTATTATTTTTAATTGCAGGCAAAACAGCTTTTATAAAAGGTTTTTTAAAAAACAGATGTTAATTATTATTAGTTAGAAAAATTGTGTGTTTTTATAAAACTCTGCTTTGTAAAATTTGCTAAAATATAGTTTTGTGTTTGTTTTTTTTTGAAATTGCACTCAATCACTGCTTTATTTACAAGTTCCCATTGTTATTCATCTTTTGTATTACGAGAAATACTAGCACCCCTTACAGGGAACGGGTAAGCAGTTAATTTATTCATTGAATATAACATGAGTGCATTCGAAAATTTAAAAAGAGGAAGGACAAATGTACGGAACTGTGACTATTCCGATAACAGTTCTTCAGATTCTGGTTCTGATTTCGAAATTGAGCAACCATCCTCAAAAGTGGAGAAAGTTTCCGGGATGGATGGAAGCTATGAAATTGTACCTAAAGATAGTAACCTTAAGAAAGTAAAACTCAGCGAACAACAGTTAGCATTGGGTGGCTTGGTGGTTTCATCGCAGGTCACCAAGCGAGACCTAATTGATGGTGCTTGGAATAGATACGCATTCAATGATGAGAATTTGCCTGATTAGTTTGGGAAAGATGAGAACAAGCACATGATGAAGGAAGCACCTGTTCCCAAGGAGCTTGTTGATGAATACATAAAGAAATTCGAGGGATTTAATTCAAGACCTAAAAGAAATTAATTGAAGCACGTGCAAAGAAGAAGAAAAAGGGTGATCGCTTTTACAAACTCGGTGTGGCAGAAATGTCCGAATACCTATACGGTTCCTTTGAATCATTTTGAAGTTCATATCAGTTGGAGAGAATTTGAGTTTTCGTGCTGGTTATGTTTTGATAATTTGTTTGTAATTATTTCTAGAAATGTTTGTTGAGTAGTTATAAACTCAACGTGAGGATAAAAGGTGAGAGGATGTTCGAGAATTTGTTAACCATGAACGTTTGATTTTTTTGCTTCGGAATACAATGTCAAAAGTATTATTTTTAATTGCAGCCAAAACAGCTGTTATAAAAGGTTTTTTAAAAAACAGATGTTAATTATTATTAGTTAGAAAATTGTGTGTTTTGATAAACCCTGCTTTGTAAAATTTGCTAAAATATAGTTTTGATTGTTTTTTTGAAATTGCACTCAATCACTACTGCATTTACAAGCTCCCATTGTTATTCAGCTTTTGTATTACGAGAAAATAATAATGAGCAGCTGCGTAAGATTTGTAATTGGTGCCCCGAGATACTCCCATGTCTATCAGCACTACACTGAGTGGCTCTTCCCCTAGATTCGAAGACAATATTTCCTAGGTAGGTCCCTCTATCAAATCATCAACAATCATCGTAATTCTTACGCCTACAATCTTCTTCAATTCAAGTACTCAGCCCATTCCCTTTCCACAAAATCTCAACCTTCCGGCCTTTACATCCCTTCTGCCTCATTCCATAACTCCTTTATTGCTCCCTGTATTATTTTCTGGAATTTCCTTCCTATCAAAATTCGGCATTTCCCCTCCCTATCTACATTTAAAACCTTCCTATTCCAATTCCTGTCCAAAAACAGTCAGATACCCGCTAACCTTTTATGCAAAATTACATATTATACATAATGATTTACATAATTACGTATTTACATATAACTCATCATTTAAATACTCAGACAATTTTTACCATCAGATACGGCTTTTTTTTTCCACGGAAACACAGAGTTTATTTCTAAGAAGAATTTAATATATACATTTTTTAAAGTGTATATTTATTTTTTACCACTGTACGTAGTTTTAAGTGTCTTGGCATAGTTTAAAGTGTTTTGTATCCGTGATATTTTGATACCGACCACACCGTACAAACAGCGGCAAGTTGGTGCTTATTTCCGAGGACCTGGGCTCTTATCAGCAGGAAGTTGAGATAGGTTGCCCCCACCTTGCAGCTCCAACCAGCTTGTCGACCTACACAGGTAAGCCATTGTTGTTAAATGTAAAGAACTCGGTGTGCTTGCGGGACCGAGCTTCTTATTTCTTTGTAGCCTATGGCTTGCAGGCCCTCACCACGGCTGCCTCGCCACCTCCAGCAAAGTCAGTGTCATCCTAATCAGCTATCATTGAGGGAGTCCAACGGAACGTATTATTGCTTTTTTTTCTCCAAGAATGCAAATATAAAAAATACTTTGAACAATTTATTTTAACTACTAGCTGATGTTCCCGTCGTTGACGGTTGTGTAGTTAAATTTTGAGAATCTTTTTTTGAGATGGATTTTGTATTATGGGGGAGGGAGGTCATTATTTAATTTCAGAAAATTGGATGGGGAGGGAGTTGTTTTGAAATTTTTTGTTGGGGGACTTATGGAAGTTAAGGTTTCGCAATAGTCATAATAAAAACTTTTTTATTCGGCTATTTGTCTAGAGATCCAGGTTAGGCAGTTACTTACTTCGATTCTCATTCCAACCGCGAGCCACATTTAAAAGTTTTACTGTTCAACTGATGGAAAAAATGATCACAACTCAACGGGAAAAATCCAAAATCCCGAACATATGTTAGGCGTTGTTGCTTAAAACACGGGTAAAACACACTCAAGTGCATTTTTCGAGGAACTGCTTCAAATGTTTTAATTAAAAACTAATCAATGTTTTAGAAAGAGGAATATATTTTCCAGATGTTTTATTTTAGCAAATTTTCCGTTACTGTTGGACGTTTAATTACAAACGACGCTTGATTTTCAACTTCAAACTTTTTTTGTTAACAAAATTGACTTTACTGGTGTTTTTTATTACCTAAGCCAATTATTTTTTATATTTTTTTCATGTTTTATTTTACTCTGACTACCAAGCTTTAATAAAAGACCAACTATGACGAAATTAAGCCAAATACTTATTTTCAGTGACCAAAAAACTAACTAAAGTCAAAATGTTTAAACGCCATTTTGGGGCAGGACGTTCACTTTTTTTGCGAGAAAATTGGCTTTTTTAAAATAAATAGTTGCTTTAAATAAAGGTTTCGCGCCTTCTCTCTCTCTCACTCTCTCTCTCTCTCTCTCTCTCTCTCTCTCTCTCTCTCTCTCTCTCTCTCTCTCTCTCTCTCTCTCTCTCTCTCTCTCTCTCTCTCTCTCTCTTTTTTCCTTCTTTCCCCCCGCTGTACCTTAGGGCAACCCTATACCAGCGGTACATCCAATTTTCTAACTGAAAAATATGCCACGAATTTAAAGGGCTCGGTTACCAGGATTAGTAACCAAGCGGGCAGGTCTGCTCTCACTTTGATCCAAATTCTTGGGTCAAAGTGAGGCAAAATTCGGTCTTTTAGTTTGATTGGGGCATTAATTATTACGGGTAAACCTACACTAATGGGCTGCCTGCAACTGGAGGGCTGTTCCCACCAAACAGGACTCCAGTAACTTCCTACCTACTTATTGTGGGCCTATTACTAAGTTTATATATACTATTTCTAAATCTTATGATAACAATAAATTTATGTATTTGGTATATCACCGGTTTAATCTTTCCTCTCTTGCTATTTTTTCATGGAATATCCTCCTGGCGTATTTCTTAAAGGCATCAAATATCTCAGGTGTCTCCACAAGCTTGTCCAGGGACCGAGGAGGCCATTCCAACGCAACTTGCAAAGCCGAAGTGGGTGCCGTTCTATACGCTCCTGTCACCAGTAGGAGAGATCTTCTTTGAGCTTGCTCCAGCACTCTGATGTCTGACTGTCTCAGTTTCTGGCCCCAGACCGGCGCCGCATATAATGCAATAGGCAAGAAAGAAGCCTTATATAGCGTTTTCCGGTAACTATATTTGAGACCCCAGGTGGTCCCTGCCATCGTTTTAAGGCAACTGTAACGGACAATAGTTTTGCTCTTAATTTCTTTTAGGTGGTTAGTGAAGTTACACCTCTCGCCCAATAGGACTCCTAAGAACTTCACTTCCTGAGATGGTTTTATTAGGACATCTCCTAACTTTACTCTGGGGAGAAACCTTACCATTTTTCCCTTCAAAAACAGGAGTCGAGTCTTC